GGTTAACCTACAGACATGCATAGATTCTACGTAGGTTGCGTACGATATTCCTATGAATATAACGACATAGATTATAACTAAATGTTCTAGAATTAGAGGGGACAACTACTCACCTCTAAACGAAGGGATTGACGGAACGATGAAACGAGATGAACGAACGGTTGACATTGTTGAACGACGAATGGTTCTCGTGGACACCTCCTTCTTCTTCTCGTCCTTCTCCTTCTTTCTCTTCGCCAGAGCTCTATTGTCTCCTGGGATTCTACTGGCCGGCGTCCGTAAGGAAGAGGGAGAGAGAGGGAGTTGGATGGTTGTGTGTTAATGGTGTTGGGGGGGTTACAAATGGTGAAGGGATGAAGGAGAGGGGGTTGTATATAATGGTGGTGGTATAATGAGTATTAATGGAGAATTAAAAATGGGAGAATGAATAAGGATGAGTGGCGTGTGGAATGGTTTTGGGCGTTACCTCCCTAAAACTTACTCAGTTGTGTAAATTCTGACGTGAACGGTACACGTTTTTTCCCCCGAACGGGTCCGAATTGAGATCCGTTTGTGTTTCCGGAATCAGACAGTCAAAACGAATTTAATGACATGTTCAAATAATTTTTCTAAGAACTTTATTTTCAAACTTCCGGGTCCACCCCAATCATTAATTAATTTATTTAATTAATGTTGAGAGGTCCGTTATCAAAACATCTTTTTATATTAAAACACATTAGCTTTGGAAAGCCATTTAAAGAGATCGAAATCTCAATTTTATTAATTAAAAATAATGAGTCTCAATAAATAAATAATATTTATTTATTTAAAACTAGGCCGGTTTGAGGGCGTTACAATTATCTCCCCCTTAAAGGAATTTCGTCCCCGAAATTCTCCTCAAGTCACACCTCACGTGTTTAGGGAGATAGTGCGTTACCCAAAACTTTATTTTGTGAAGCATACGAATGCATAATAGATTAAAGACCAATTGACGGATTTCATTCAAGGAACATATTTGGTTGGGACAAGTGGGGCAAGATGTTGCATCGAGCGCTCTCTCGAATCATAACTTTGCCTCTTGTTCTTTTGTCTCTTACCAAGCACGACGGTTCGACTGGAGTCAACGCTTGACACGCTTCTGGTACTAATGGTACTCATCTAACAATCGCAAAGTATCAAAATGGGAACAAATGAGCGCATAACACAGTTTGTTTGACGCTTCATTGTGCGCTCACGTGCTCAGGCACTGCTATGTGGATCTACCTATCTGTCATTGCCTACTGCTTGGCTCATTCTCTATAAGAACGGCTTAAATCTGAACTAATTACAATATGACATATAAATGAATTAAATAACGGTGTACCTTTCCTTGGGAGTGATGTGATGGGAGATGCGGCTGTGGACTTTTTGAAAATACCTTTTGAACAAGATGACAAAATATGTTTTTTTTATTTATTTTTTTTCACAAGAACCGAACTTCTCTGATACCAAATTGTAACACCCGCCTTCCGTGGACCCGGTTCACCCGCGACCCAACGGACCGGTAGGGTTACATGGGCGGTCCGAGAACCGTCCGTAGAGAAAAATGCATTAATGTCTATTTATTATGTAACGGTTGGGTTTAATTGATGAAATAAATGATAGGGAGTTATTTGCAAAACATGTGCGACATAAATGCAGAGTAAAAGCGGAAGTAAATATATAAGTCCAGAATAAGTAAAACGTCATATGGTGGGTTCATGCCCGAATGATTATTTGATTAAATGAAAATAAATATTAAACTCGTCCATGCACCGCCCATCTCCTCATCATCACTGTCCTCTAGCACCTGTACCGTCATGTCTACCTGCGTGTAGCGAAAACAACTACACGCTCAGCAAAATTAAAGCTGAGGAGTGAATCTAACAAAAGAACATTAAGTGATAACCCATATGGCTACACACATATTAGTACCTGTACTTAACGTACGAAAACCCACATGTTTACTAACTGAATAATTTGCACTTGATGGGATATTATTACACATAACAAAATGATGTACTACCACATTGAATATGGACATGATGGGGAACATACATGATGATGACAACCACATTGAATATTGATGTGACATGGAACATACATGATGATGATATGACTTGATGCATGACTTAAACTATTAGGGACACCCCTGACTTAGTCTCACTTGACAGGATCACCCTTGCACTCCGGTAATGAGCCGGGCTCGACGGAAATGTCGCAAGTGAACTAGAAAAAACCGGGTGGTAGCCGTAGCCTGACTACCATGTACGTACACAAAGCCCACCTGATGAAAAACCCGTTGGATCCCAAAGGTTCCTGGACGGGCCCACTGTAGTAGGCGCACGGAAGCCTGACCTCCCTACAGCGGTATGCACATGATGATGAACCTAGTACATGCGTCTAGGATGAACATGATGAAATGAATGCATTGATTGAAGAAGGAAGTTAAATTCAAGGTGTACATATGTGTTTGATCACAATTTGTTCAACGTGATGGCCTTGGGTTCAGAACTGGCTGATAATCGATTGTCCACTGTTGATAATCGATTATCATGTTGTGCAGCTTCTGTCCCTAAAGTCCTGCAGACTGTGGTAGTCGATTGCCACCCTAGGATAATCGATTGTCAAGTTGGTTTGTCTAGATGTTCCAAGTTCAGAGAGCCCTGATAATCGATTATTGACTATGTGATAATCGATTACCAGTGAAGCCAACTCAGACCCAAGAATTCGCAGGGCTGATAGTCGATTATCACATATGTGATAATCGATTATCACGTTGTGCTGAATAAACTGAGGAGTCCAGCATGGCCTGACAGTCGATTGTACTATCCTGTAACTCAATTATCAAGGCACGCTGATTTCCATTTTATCTGTTTGTTTGTCATCAAAACGTTGGAAGTTTTAGAAACGAATGCTTACATTTCCATGCTAAATAATCGATGAACTTACAAGGTTTCAAAACATTTATATTAACGAGTACATAACTTGATAACGTGAACACACGTATGCTTGATGGTTAACCTACAGACATGCATAGATTCTACGTAGGTTGCCATGCTATAAGGATACTTATATTGCTGTATCTAATATTGATTTACAAGATCTTAATCTCCCCTGTTGATGAGTGGAGATTTGCTTCCCTAACTGCCTTGCTACTTTGCTCTACTTGCTTGCCAACTGTAACAACTTGCTGCTTACCAAGAGCACCTGTGGAGGAAGAAGAAGAGCAGGAAGAGGATCTTTCTCTTCGCCTGAGCTCCGTCGTCTCCTGGGATTCTACTGGCCGGCGTCCGTAAGGAAGAGGGAGAGAGAGGGAGTTGGATGGTTGTGTGTTAATGGTGTTAGGGGGGTTACAAATGGTGAAGGGATGAAGGAGAGGGGGTTGTATATAATGGTGGTGGTATAATGAGTATTAATGGAGAATTAAAAATGGGAGAATGAATAAGGATGAGTGGCGTGTGGAATGGTTTTGGGCGTTACCTCCCTAAAACTTACTCTGTTGTGTAAATTCTGACGTGAACGGTACACGTTTTTCCCCCGAACGGGTCTGAATTGAGATCCGTTTGTGTTTCCGGAATCACACAGTCAAAACGAATTTAATGACATGTTCAAATAATTTTTCTAAGATCTTTATTCCCAAACTTCCGGGTCCACGCCAATCATTAATTAATTTATTTAATTAATGTTGAGAGGTCCGTTATCAAAACATCTTTTTATATTAAAACACATTAGCTTTGGAAAGCCATTTAAAGAGATCGAAATCTCAATTTTATTAATTAAAAATAATGAGTCTCAATAAATAAATAATATTTATTTATTTAAAACTAGGCCGGTTTGAGGGCGTTACAAGTTTGGCAAACAACCCTTGCCAATAGGATTCACTCCGAGATTTCACAACGGCTATCTCGAACCGTTTACAATGAAGAATTACGGCTATCTTCCACCGTTCCCTCAAGGATTTCCAAGGCTATACTCGAACCTTTACTCAAGGATTTATACGGCTATCCTTAACCGTTACAACGTGAGAATTGAACGGCTATTCTCGACCGTAACAATGTGTGTTTGAAGAACACAAAAGAGGATTCTTTACAACGGCTAGAATATAAAGATGAAGAACAAAACTTAGCCGGTGTAGAAGGGAATTATACTCTCTCAAAAATATAATACAAACTTATGAATATGAGAGTATATAACTAGAAACACAAGCTCTAAGTGTGTGTATAAAAATAGGAATTTAAGGCTCTTGAAATAGCCAAAATATTGAAAATAATTAATAAAAGAATGAACACACTTAGAATATAAAGGGAGGATGTTTGGAGCTTTGTTTCTTGTTGAAATATGAAGTATTAGGCCTATATTTATAGTGGAAGATGTTAATTAGCCGTTAGGAGGTGATTAGAGTTGAATTAATTCAAAAATCAGCAATCAGGAATAGTGTTCCAACGGTAACGGTACCCTGTCATGGGAGCTAGGTCCCGTACGGTAGCTAGGTACCTTCTCAGGCCAAAACTCTCTGGCGGTACCTATCCTCTTACGGTACCCCTTACGGGGGGTCCCGTCTAGACGATAGGGGGTCCCGTGCTGACGGTAGGGGGTACCTTCTTAGATTGACTCACGGTACCTATCCTCTTACGGTACCCCTTTTGGCAATTTTTCATTTTTGTCCAAATCATTTCCAATTTTGTTTAAAACCTTTTAGATGTTTGAAAATGATTATAAAAGGGTTTTAAACATATTTTTTGAGTCACTTGAGCTTGTAAATATAGGTATATAAAATCATATCCTTACATTGGTTTCTACTTATATTCTACGCTAGTTTAGTGTTTCGACTTCATTCTTGAGTACCGAATCTTAATGGATTCTTGTTGTACCTGAAACACTTAAACAAACGTTTAGCTCTTATATTGTTTGTTAACATCAAAACACGAGGCTTAGCAAACCAAGGCTAACATCCTTCTCAAACTTGAGTTTTGGGAGACCAACTAATAGGTCTTGTGAAACCAATTTGTTCAAAAGGTTCATGTTCACATGAGCTACTCTACAATGTCATAGCCACATATCGTCCTCCTTACTCATGAGACAATTGGCAAAGTTGGAGGGGGATTCATCTAAGTTAACCATATAAATGTTATCAATTCTATCTCCACGAAGAATAATCTTATTGTCACTAAGACGTTCTACCATGCATGATCTAGAATGGAAGGTTACATGGTTTCCCTTATCACACAATTGACTTATGCTCAAGAGATTGTGCTTAAGACCCTTGACTAGCAACACATTATCAATAGAGGAGGTTTCATTTTTACCAACCGAACCAGTGCCGACTATTTTGCCTTTGCTATTATCACCAAAGACAACATTTCCTCCTTTAGTTGGTTTGATTTGTAAGAACTTGGATGCATCTCCGGTCATGTGCTTGGAGCATCCGCTATCAAGGTACCAAAGTACACTTGATGCCTTCAAGCAAACCTACAAATCAATTTAAAAAGATTTAGGTACCCAATCTGTTTGGGGTCCTTGGGCGTTAGGTGCACGTTGGTAGTGTGATTGGTTTTGAGTGCAATGCCTATGCCTAGTGAAGCAAACCGGGGCTATATGTCCTACCCTATTGCAATAATGGCAAATGACATTTGGATTATGCATTCTCCTAGGTTGATAATAGTTATTAGGTTTTCTATAATGGCAAAACATTGTTTCTAGGTTCTCTAAAATGATCATTGTTCATCATAGTGTTCTTTCTAGGTGGTCTAGTGTTCCTAGTTGTTCTAGGTTGTCTATTATTGTTTGTTTTATTTTTCCTAAGTTGAGCCTTAGGTTGTTTAGGTGGTTGCTCAACTTTTTCCTTATTATTATTAGTTTCATTTTCAAACACTAAGCCATGTTTAGAAAATTGCAAGTTGTCAAGAACATCATTAAGGTTCTTATGTGAAACACCAAACTTCTTAAAAGTTCCTTCAAGTTTTGCAACATGTTGCTTTAGTGATGCACAAGAGCTACACTTAGAACTTTCCGGTTTGTCGGCGCTTCTTTTTCCGAAAAACATATTTTCTTCTTTAAGTTTTTCATTGTCTTTGGAAAGCTTGTCAACCTCATTCTCCATAGAAGTGAGTTGTTTCTTTAAGTCTTTGTAAATTTTAGAAGCGTTGACATACTCATCGTAAATTTCATTAAAGGCTTCTTGTACATCATCAAAAGTGTAGGAATCTTTAGAAGTAGTACATACCTCTTCCGGTGGCTCCTCGTGTGCCATGAGGCAAAGGTTGGCGCTTTCGTTTTCTTCGCCATACGAAGACTCATCACCGGAATCGCCTCCCCAAGAGATGTAAGCTCGAAGCTTCTTGAATGGCTTCTTCTCCTTCTCGTTCTTGGCATTTGGGCATTTCGGTTTGATATGCCCAATTTCTCCACACCCATAGCATTTGGGTGGTCCTCCTTGCTTCTTGTTCTTCCGTTCATACTCCGTCTGTATGAACTTGTGGAATTTCTTGATAACGAGCCCGAACTCGTTGTCTTCGTCGCTTGATTCCTCCATGGTGGGTTCTTGGCTTGTGGAAGCATTGAGTGCAATCCCCTTCTTCTTTTGTTCACCTAAAGAGGGGAAAAGAATGGTAGACTCATAGGTTTTGAGGTTACCTCTAAGCCCGTCGATGGTGACGTTGGTGATGCTGATGGACTCTTGGATAGCATCGGCTTTGGAGCGCCATTCGGGTGTGAGACTCCGTAGGATTTTTGGATAGCATCGGCTTGGGATATCATTGGCTCCTTGTCCGTGTACATGTTCTTGAGAGCGTGAAGGTCGTTGACGATTTTTGAAAATAGTTCAAACATCTCATCGATTTTCTCATTCTCCTTCATACGAAACAATTCATATTCATGGGTTAGAAAATCAATTTTAGCTTCTCGGACTTGATCCGTACCTTCATAGGTGATTTCTAGCTTGTACCACATTTTCTTGGCGGTGGAACAACAAGAAATCTTCCGGTAGTCGTCCGGGTTCACGGCACAATAGAGGATGTTGATGGCTTTTGTGTTGTTCTCAATCTTCTTTATATCCGGCGCATCATACTCATCCTCGGTTTTAGGGACGATGTTTTCCCCGTCTTTCTTCATGGGCACCTCTTTGCCCTTCTTGATGATTCTCCACAGGAGAAAGTTCGTGGATTGGATGTAAATCCTCATCCGCTCCTTCCAATACGTGTAGTTCGTTCCGTCAAACAACGGAGGCCTCATGGTGGATTGTCCTTCACCTAGTCTTGCATATAAGTTTTGAGTAGAAGTCATTGATCGTTTCTCTCAAACGGTTAAGTCTTTCAGAGAGTATGGATTTGATACCAATTGTTAGAATAATGGCCTAACACTAGAGGGTGTAACACCCTAATCCGTCCAGGTCTGCAGCCCCATTCGAACTAACCTATTAATTTGGAAATCATAAAAATTTAAAACATTTGAACACCTTTATTCATCATAAATATTATTCAATACATAACGGTAGTAAAATACGGAGTGTTTAATAATAATGCGGAAGAAAATTTAAACCATGTTTTATAACAACACAATTATTCATTTAAAATCATAAATTCCACCACGACTGTCTTGCCCCTTCCGCTGCCAGGAACATGCCAATCACTCATTGTGCCTACCTGCGTGTAGCAAATAGAACACATTACACGCTCAGCGATGAAGCTGAGTAAGCATATCTAAAGCGTCGAACATCCACATAAATTGAATCTGAATTCATAATTAACCATTTGATATCATGCACACAATCTATGATTCATTCATGATATTCTCAATATTTTATTCCAAGTCATTTCAATATCTCAACATTCAACATTCATATTCAATATTTAATATTCCACAATATCCTTAAACTATGCTTAGTCTAAGGCCAATCTTTCTGATGTTTACCAACTCTTAAACTAATTCTAGTTCAAGGTACTTCTATCCAACTCTTAAGCTAAGTCATTAGTTTAAGGTACATATATTCCGATTGATTTACCAACTCTTAAACTAGCCTTCGCTTAAGGTACAAATCCAGAAAACCGAACAGTAGAATACCAACTATCGGGTTGGTTGGTATCCGCAAACGAGGGATCCTCAAGTTTGGTTTATGGACCCCATACGTACGTTGTTACCCAAGGCCACTGAATATACATATTTATACCTGCAAGGCCCAATCTAATTTAAGGTCTATCTTAGAGGTCTTCTAGATAGCCTTAACAATACAATTCATTTTTCATCAATCCATTTATTTTGAATCTTAGTTCAATATTTCATAATCGTCATTTCATTCAGAATAATCATCATCATTAAACCATAATATTCATTATTAACACTCTAGGTTACCGTCATGCATCACGTAAAGTTGTTTTAGTTGTCAAAACATCATTTTTATTCCAAGAGATCATCTTTATATTAATCATAATTTATTGGTATCGAAAATGGGATTTCATAGTTCAAAAATCATGTTTTCTGAGTAATAATTGATTAACGCATGATAGGGAAATCAAGTAATAGCTACTGGTTTTATTTTCTTCAGCAGGGTAGGGAGATAATCGATTATCACTTCTGATAATCGATTATCTAATGTTCAGAATGGGTTGATAATCGATTATCACATTCTGATAGTTGATTATAAGCTTCCAATTCATTTTCAGAGAAGGCTGACAGTCGATTGTCACATTCTGACAATCAACTGTTGCTCTGTTGTGTTCCAAAAATTTGCAGAAAGATGAATAATCAATTTTTAAGTTAATAATCGATTATGCATCGTCTTCTACCTCGGGTCAACTTACAGAAATGTCAGTTTTGGTCACCAAACTTCAATTAAAGTATATAAAAATGTTCTCCAAGGTTCATAGATCATTTTGATATCATTAATTCATAGTTTTAACAACAATTTCATAGTTTATGATTCTTGGTTCTTCAAGCATGTCAAACACAAAACCCAACCAAATGAGCATTTATGAACGTAGAAACAACCTTTATGAAAATTCTAGTCATTAGATATATCTACGGGCTTACCTTAAAGCTAAACGAAGATTCCGACGAAAGTACGACGAAACTTCCGGCGACAAAAGCTCTCAACTCCGGCGACCTCTCACTAAATTGGCAACACCAAATGTTCTGCTCACTCAGAGCAGCAGAATAGAAGGACAAATGGATTGATTTGGTGAAGGAATGAGGAAATTGGCTTCCTTATGTAATGGAGAGAAGAAGAAGAAGAAGCCAAGCTTACTCCTATTCCGGCGGCTGTGAGTGGAGTGAGCGGAGCCGTTCCAGGATATTGTACATTATCTCTGATTGGGACTAATTTGGTCCCAGTCGGAGAACACTTTTAGGTCCAACTTTCTCCGAATTAAAATCCGATTGAACCATTGCGGTCAGACAGTCAACCTCAACACAATGATATAATTTCCATCATTTGTTGACAAACTTTATAATTCACTTTTTTTTGGGTCCTTTTTAGTAATTAATTAGTTATCAATTAATTAATTCTGATAGGCCTATTTTTGGGGCGTTACAGGGGGTGAATAGCGTTTAAAACAACATCGCATGAATTTAAAAACGAGGAAGGTAAGGTAAAAAGCGTAAGGAGGGAGCACACCGAATTTTATCCTGGTTCACCACAACGTGTGGCTAATCCAGCCTCCCGAGAGACTCTCTCGAGCTACACTAACTCCGTTAAGCTTAAAGGTGCTCAACAAACCGATACAACTTGAGAACCCGAGTCACACGAGCCTCAACGCCTTTGCTCGGAGATACCGCACTCCAAGACTTCACACGAAGGAACGAAAATTTCTTTCAAACTACAACAAGGGAACAAGCTCCCTTCAAGTGTATAGAAACACTTAAACACTCAAAGAGTAGTTATGAGTGAACTAGTAAACGCTCAAGAACACGACAATTTCTTCAATAATTGGCTCTCAAAAAGCTATGAAATATGAAGAATGATTATGCAATGAAAGAGTATTGAAATGTTTAAGAATTGTGTGTAAAATGAGAGGATTTGGGTGCCATTGTATAGCCCAAAATGTAGTGTAACCGTTGCAAGAATTCCAACAGGATCAGGACAAAAATTTCATAGTCATAGACTGATAATCGATTATCTAGACATGATAATCGATTATTAAAAGATTCCGTGTCCAAAAATTTAAAATTCTATCCTTTGGAGGGCAACGGTAACATTGACAGTTGATTGTCTGAAGACTGATAATCGACTATCAAGCCTTTGTGAAAAAACTGGTTTTGTAGAAAAACGCAGATAATCGAGTGACAACAAGTGTCAATTGAGTATAGGATGGTCCTGAACTTAGAGTTCAGAAACAACAGCATGTGATAGTCAATTGTTGAAAAAGTGACAATTGATTATCATCCAGCTAAGACCATTCCTGCGAAAACTAACTTGAAAAACCGAGGTCCAAAAACGAAGTGTTCCCAAAAGTAAAAATCAAGGTAGAATAACTTTGTATATGGTATAAAATAGTAAAATCAAGACTTGTTTATTAAAAACCAAGTCTTTGAGATCGTTTGTCATGTGTTGACGGTTTTGACCGATTTTCACGTGTTAGATGGATTGACCAAAATACAAAAATGGTTTTTATAAAATAATTGTTTGGGAACCTTTTAAATATGCCCAGAGGTAAAAACGAAGTGTAAAATATTGAAAACCACTTAGTTGGTTTGGACACCAAAAACCGAACGCCGAATGCCGGATGCCGAATGTGTAGTTTTGGTTTGGGCAAGGACCAAGGATTTAGAACCTTATAAAAAACGTTTATTTTGATGCATAAAAACGTTGTATGATTTTGTAAAATTATTTGGACTCTTTGAGAACCGAGACTTGAATTGATTGTCGGTTTTGATAACAATAAGACCGACTCGACTAAGTCTTCAATTCTTGATCTTGTCCTTGAGTCTCTTGGTCTTGTTCCATGCCTTTCTTCACGCCTTGAGTTGTTTAACGAAACTCTTCATGTCCACGGCGGTTTGGCAATTATCAAAACCTGTCAGAAATGAACACGACTTTAGTTCATTACAATGAAAAGTGTGTTCCAACAAACAAGACATTCTTTCAGGAATGCAAAGAGTACTTAAGGATGAGTGCTTCAATTCTTTAGCAAATCTAAGTTCTACACTATTTTTTGTGGATCTTCAAATACACATCAAAAGTATTTCTATATTTTTGCAATAAAATGCTGATAAAAGTAGTAGACGATTGAGTGCCACTCTCAATTGTAGGTTCACAAAACATGTGTGAGACCAAGCTCCACTACATATAGCATTTTTTGATAGTGTGAAGGAATACATTCAACAAAAAGCTCAAACTTGTGAACGTGAAACCTTTATTTTCTTTAAACTAGGGGGCGTTGAGTTTCAAACATGTGACCTCTTAGTCAACAAATTTCCGATACCATGTCAAGAACCAACTCAACCAAAAACTCATGCTTGTGGTTGTGGCCCGTAATAGGTTATTTATGTTCTAACACGCCCCCTCAGGTTCGGATTAGGATATGCCATATCCGTCGCGAATATTATCTGTTGACAACCCTAAACCCAGACTAATCCTAAGCTTTCTAAAACCCTAGTTTAAGAGTTCTTAATGAATGAAACAAATCGGGATATCTTTCGTCCTAAGGTTTTATACGACCCTTACATAAACTTAAGTGTAACAGTTATTCCTACTAGGTCAACTTCTAATTGATTTTATTAGTTTGACCGGTATATGTTTTATACAATTTGATAATAATTGTGTTATGGATAGTATATTAAGATATTTAGTAGTAATATTATTATTATTGTAATCTAGGTTTTATGAGGTGAAGGAAATTATAAGCTTCTTCGAGGATTTCTTTTTAGTTCATTACCTCGACGCATTTGTTGATAGATGGGCTAGGGTTTTCGTCTATTTCTTATTAATAGATATTTTGCCCCTTTAGAATAATCAATCAATAAACAATATTACAAACCCTAATTCTTTCTCCTCTCTCAAAGAGCTCAAAGACGCTCTATGTCTTTCTTATCTGATACAATATTCGGATCATTAGTGCTTTCATTGAGACGAATATCGTATCGGACACGAAAGACTAAGAGCGCCTTCGAGCTCTTGAGGACATGGGACAAGGAAGAAGAAGGATTGCGATTAGAGGAGAAGGGAATCGACGAACTGAGAGAGGAAAAGGGATTCGGGTTTGTAATATTATTTATTGATTGATTATTCTAAAGGAGTTACATATCTATTTA